GGAATGATATGGAATGAATCAAAGACATACGTATGGAAAGGAATGATATGGAATGAATCAAAGACATAGGTATGGAAAGGAATGATATGGAATGAATCAAAGACATACGTATGGAAAGTTACCTTTATCCTCCCACATACTCAAGTCAGCATTTTTTGTGTGTGTGTAAATCATGATGTAGCATGTTCTTCCAGATAACTTGTATTTGGAACATAACAAATTCAAATGAAGTGAATCTAATCTTTCTCCTATGTTTGAAGACTAGTGTAGTTCTAATTTTACAGATTTTGAAATGCAAAAGTTTTCCGTTTTCAAATTCTGAGTATTCTTTTAGAGAAGCAAATTAGCAGTTTCAACAATGCTACAGCTTGAATATGAGCCGGTACGAAGGTTTTAATGTGATACTAGCTGTGAGTCTTTTTTTCCGGAAAATTGATTAATCATTTGATCTGATTTTGTTCCAGTTTTTGTACCCAACCTGTATTGGCATATTTCACTAGCTGAACAAACTGTACATTGACAGTTTTGAACAGTGTAAATAAGTTGAATAGCTGCACATATCCTGACATTTTAAGAAGTGCTAACAGTTGATTTCGGTCATTCACTTTCCATTATGTATGCATTTCTCTATCAAATTCTTGCTGTCTTATTAATAACTTAATTTCATTTTAACCTCATTTCTAAAGAAATCAATTGATCACCTGTTTAATTTCTAGTGACTAGTTGATCATTAAATTTCCTGTCAACATGCAACATGTATAACACATTTCAATCAGTGCACAGCCATTGCTCATCCAGTCATCTCTACATCCACGGTGAATACATGTATTTGCCGGTGCTCTCTTAGGACTAACCACCAGCATAAACTCTTCCACCTTTTGGTTCCAATTGTAGAAGAGTCCAGACTACCTTTACTTTAGTTAATCGAGACAAAAATAAATCAACCTAATTGGTTTTTACTGTATTTAGAAATGGGCTGTTATATTAGAAATATGTTGTCCGTTGTCACAACCTGCTCTGTGATCAGATGTTAATTTAGGAATTGATACTTGACATTTTCAAACTTTGTTTAGACTTGTTTTATCAAAGTACATGTACATTGAGTATCCAGTGTTTTATATATATACGTTGATGTAAAGGCAAAACCTGTTATTAAAATTAACGTATTCTCTTCATCAATTACAGTAATACAGCAGGTAATTGTTTATTCAGACGAACCTCAGATACATGTATATGTTTCATATGTGTACATGGGTGTTCAAACACATTTATTAAATTGGATGGAGATAGATTGTATTGAATAAAACTAAGATTGATTGTATCCAAAAAGACACGAAAACATACTCGTGAGAATGATTTGGATGTGTTCTTTATCTCCAATTTAAGTTGTTTTCATTGTGGAATTTGAATGGGTTGATAAATTAAAGCTGCCTCATGTTTTAATCACAACCTGTTGCTGTGAGTGACTCTTCATTGGTTTCAATATGTCAGGATTTGCTTGCACAATAATTGTATATATTTCATGCGAAGCCTGGGGACGGAGATTTAGTGTCAAACACAGAAACTGTCTTGGTCCAGAACAACATACAAAAAAATGACAAGTAATAGTTGACTACCTGCATCAGTGAGACGATAGCATCTTGTCGAAAATACCAAGAACCATCAATTTACAAGTAAAGTCTTGTTTTTCATTTTCTCAGTTAATGTCGCTTCACTTCGTTTAGTCAAACATTTATTGCTGCAAACTCGTGAATAAGCAATGAATTGCAGATGATTTCTTTTTGGTGACATCTTCAATCATATTCACCTTGTTCTTACCGTCTATTAATCTTTACGTTCCTGTTACAGTATATAAATTGCCACATCCTTACATGACTGGTATCTGAATGAACACCCCTAATGTGTGTCATTTCCTTCGTGTGATTCATTTCCCATGATAACAGAGCACAAACCTGAAAAAAAAAAAAAAAAATACATCTTGATAATAAGAGCACAACCTGAGTTGCTCATCTATCCAAGTGGTCAGTTCATTACAGGTATCCTGACCAGAGGGAAAAGCTTCAGGGGGTTGCAGTGGTGTAGGATAACTCAAGGAATATTAGGAAAAAGTATGTTCATTGGTAACCTGTCTAAAAAAGGCACATTGTTATAGCCATTGTGGCCTTTTCCCATGTCCCTTGAGGTTAAATGCTAGGCTTGTGGGATTACCAAAATCAATTCACAAGTGATATTTTAAGGTCATGCACAAAGTATTACCATGGAAGAAGGACACATAGGGAGTTTGAACTGCCCGGGCTATAACATTTGGCCAATTACAGCTTTCTGGCATGCCTGGTATGTCCATAGCCAGAGTGCAGTGCATGCTTTCTACCCACCACACGTTTTGCAACTAAAAGCCCCCTTTGTACCCCATGATCATTGCTGCAATTTTTCTGCACCCTAAAACTTAGTGTACTGCAGTAAAGGAAGTTGAATATTCATGCCATCATCGGTGCTTCAAACATCAAATTTAGTGCTTGTGCAGTTGCTTTTATAAGGCTGCATACCGGAAGTGTTCATGTGCAGTTGTTGCCCTTATCGAATGCTTTCTTCTGAACTTCCTTTGGGAATAAATAGCCAAGCTGTTTGTAAGATTTTGAGTTTTATTAGAATCATTTTTACTACTGAATTTACACAAAAAGGTATTTTATGAGATCTCAAAATCACTCCCTGTTATGAAACAGCGCATTTTGTTTTTCGTGATCTTAATTGTCCTGTGGTGTTCAGCATGTTGTTGGCCGGTCTTCGCCAAACTCGTACAAAGACTTTGAAAACTGATGTTTTGGAGTAACAAAACAAAATTACAAACATTGCATGGATAATGGAACAGGGCATCAAAACGGCAAAAGTAAATCTAATGTTAGATATTTCTTCGTTCTGTTTCCTGCTCACTGCGATAAGTTTGGTAGTTAATTCCAAAGAAAACACCACAAATATTGTTACCATATTACTGGCTCCACTTGTCCAGCTAAGCTGCAGGCAGTAATCAGGCATTTTGGGAATGTTTACTTTCGTTCGTCTGACTGGGCGGCGATGATCATCAAGCACTTTGATGTGCCAGAGTTGTAACTCCTGTCTCCTTCCTCCATGGTATTACTCAAGTTGTCAGGATAAGATTCCTCCTGTTTTAGTCTTTGTGCCCCAAATGCAATAGGCCTTCCAGCATCACCAAGAACAATCCACAAACCAAGTCTGAAGTTCATATGCAAAGTAATTCTCAAGTTATCTTACCCACAAGAATATTTTAGATACACACCGTCTAATCTGCACAGTCTCGTACTGTAGTCTGTAGTTGCAGGAACGAACATATATTTCACCCATCCCATTCCAAACATTATTAGGACACAGTGATGTCCCCACAACTCGGCCCTAATTTGCTTCACAAAGGAAACTGTTCCCTTACCCCAGTTCAGGCCTACCCACACACACACTCACATTTTGCTATACCACCAAGGAGAGGGCGTTATGTTTCATATTGTTCCAATAATTGAACACTATCCCATTCACCAAGCACAAACACCTCCAAAGATAATAGATTGACTTCGTTGGGGCAGGGCATAAAAAGTGAAGACTCTTGCAGGCAAAATATCAAACTCATTCTGTGAATACAATGAAAACAGTTTATTGTAAATCATGACTGGCTCTTATGTGTACACAGAAGTTAAAAACAAGTATGTTTAGATCCTCAGTTTTGTTGTCACAGAGGGCGATAATCTCAACAAGCTCACTGAACACAATTACAACTGTTGAAGGAATCACACCGCAGTCACTGCAAAATCATCAACGAGGTGAAGCAAGAATTCAAACCCAAGACTTCAGGTGCAAACAGTTTATGTAGGTACATGTAGCCACCACAAGGAATTCTAACATCAGGCTGCATTTCTACAAATGCACACAAAAAGTTGGTGCACTTTGTGAGGCTTAACTGAATGCAATCTGTCAACTTACACCAAATGGGTCAAACAGATACAGCAATTCACATAGATATTGTGCGGACTTCTATTACAAAAAAATAACCTCAGAAACAAAAATACATGCACAAGCATCAACAGAATACATACAGTGTTTGGATTTATGTGTTTGATATTCCTTACAGTTGTAAAATACCCACATCATAGGTTCAGGTGATTTCCAGAAATTACAAGATAGTAACCATGGTAACCTTAATCACAAGAACTGCATGTAATAACTGTCTAATCAGTATCATACCTGTGATATTAACTCTTGTAACCATATACATGTATGATGTACTTTCACATAATAAAACTGAAAAACTACACCTTTTAGAATAGAAAAAATGAGTAGTGTGTGCTGCTGAATGGTGTCTTCAGCAGGCTTGTTGCAGGTTATGGAGTATTGTTGAGAAAAAGGGGAAAATCTCCAACGCTTGCAAGATTATGCCAAATTGCAGCCATATAAATTCAATACTGGAATAAGTTTTGTCTTTATCTGAAACAAATACACAGCCATGGTGTATCACTGGTGGGTATATCACAGGTGGGTTAGTGAGCTGTGATGTTTCAGGTATACAATGTCTTAGTGATGGCACCTTTGAGGTCATTGGTACATCTGAATAGGAACAGGTTGACAGAGTGCTGATATTCTTCCTTATTCAATACAGGCGATTCACAATAGTGCGCCTCCAAGAGTTTGCTACGCAGTGGCCAATCACAATGCGCGAAACTTGCCTATCCTTTCCAGACGTGCATTGGGTTGACAGATTTCGCACACTGTGATTGATCAACACGTTGCACACTCTTGGAGGCGCACTATTCTGAATTGCCCGTATTGTCTTTGTAACCCACTACCAAACAAAATACCACATTCAGCCCTTACTGTTTGAGATGAAACAATGAATTTCATCTTCAACGATTCACCATTTCATACTATGTGTTACATTCAGCAGCTAGTGAGTTGCTTAGCACTAGCATGAACCACTACTAGGGAAATTACAGACCTCTGAATGAAGCATCATGGCACTACGATAGTGAACCCTCATCATACTGAGACAGAATTTCAAGAAGTAATAATTACAAGGTATACAGGTATTTCTTCTGTATTCACCACCTCTTGCAGAATTATGTGAAGATAGCCTCATCAGAAGTCCCAAGTATTGACATCTTTGATCTTCGTGCCGTAATAATTTGATGTACATGTATTTATAGTAACTATGATCTATACAACTGTAGGTGTGGGTGTCATTATCTGACAGAAATGTGCTGTTACTATGATGTCCATTTCTGGTCTTGTTTTATTGGTTGTATCATCTTAATGTGTTTAGTCTTGAGAGCCAATCATCAACGTCAGGCAGAATTCTCCCACTTTGCTAGAATGTCTCCTTCCCTGAATAAATAGTACTCCTGAAATAATGAGGATGAAGGAACAGCAATTACAATTATATCAATACTACGTAATGCACATTTCTTGCAGCAATTTCTAAGTACAATTCACAGCGTCAGCAATCTGCTTTGTTTCTTGACCTTTCCTGACAACTTAGATCTGGTCACAGTTGTGACGCTCATTTAACAAAGTCTCACATGGTCCCATAGAAATGAATTTTGGGTTGATCCAAGTAATCACAATAACCAAATTTTGTACTGCTTTGCCTTGGGTGCAATGTATCCATGAATCATTGTTCTATAAAATCATTTTCTACCTAGAGTGTACAGAGCTCTAAAAGTGCCATATGACTTGTTGAAATCCTGACATACATGTATTTAATCTCAAGCTGACAGCACATTATTAGAGGCAAGATGTAGACATAGTGAGAGTAAATTTACATTACCACAGACAAGTTGCTAGAGCTGAAAACTTACTTTTTCATCAAGAGAAACTTTTGTCCCTCCATATTCAGGAAGCAACACTCTGTCTCCTACCTTCACGCTCAATGCCATAGTTTCTCCTTGCTGGAAAGAAGATCAAGATGTGAACAAATCAGTGGCTCTTCCTACTGAATTATCAGTCACTGAACAGGCAATCAGCGTTCAATATATGTACTAGCCCAAACCATTCACCAGGATTGCTAAACCTACATCTTTAACCCTGACAGTCCTCAGTCCTCCAACAAGTGAAGGATTGAGGACTGTTAGGGTTAACCTATTACAGCCCTAAATCCTCATATTTCAGTATGAATTAAAAGCTGGGTCATGACTGATACAAGTTGAGTGATGTCATTTACTGTTTCATGCATAGATTGACATGTATTTGGTACAAAAGAACCTTCTTAGACATTCTCCGACAGGGAGGGGGAGGATTCTGCCCTACCCTCCCAGCTACAGAAAGAACTTGTCTGTCCCATGACCAATCTTTCTGAAACTTTGTATGAAAGAACATCCATTGTGAGTACATTTCCGCATTTTTAAAATCAAAAGGACTTTGTGTGGTCACTCATCATTTCCACAAACTGGAGCTATCATTGTGGGAACGACACAAATACTGAACAATGGCTATTGTAGGGACAAATTCATTAAAAAAAGAAGCCTCCTCAACACGATGCAGACAAGTTACATTCTCCAGCATGTTGGCCCCTGTGCCATTGAGCACATTGCACATTATCTCTTTGTCTTTCCCGAAGGGCTGCTGCCAATGATTAGCCTGTCTGGGTAAGCCACATCGTACCAACAACAGGCTCATACATGTGTGCATTCTGGCAGGCATCCGTTTACTTACCTGGTTCCTGGACCCAGGTCCTACTGCACATACTGTAGCATCTAGCACTTTGGCCTGGGACTTCTCAGGTATCATAATGCCTCCTTTAGTCCTAACTTCTGGGGCAAATTTCTCTACCAAGATGCGATCAAACAGGGGCTTCAATTTCCGTACACCAGACTATGCATGAAAATAAACAAAAAACTGGGCACATCAATATTAAAGCTAAAGAGTTTCAGCTCGTGCTTGTAGGTACACCCAGTAAAAGTATGTCTTCTCTATAAATAGTGAGTGGTGAATGTCAGTAACTGGCTGTTGCACATGTATTTACAGGATCAATATTCAAGGAATATTCACATATGTTTATTTGCAATTTCATTTTATGATAAAGATACGCCACAGCAAACAACAGAAAGGTAATACACACATGTACGTGTAGGCCGGACCTGCAATGCCCTTAGGGGAAGAAAAATCAATAGAAACTTACCATGATCTCTTCTTACTTGGACAGTCTTGTCATGCAAAATTTCCTGTCCAAAATAAAACAAATACATGTACATTTGATGAATCTCAAATGAATTTACCATCAGTCAAGTTAAAAGCCTCCACTTAACAGTGGAGATACACTAAAAAGAGGGCTTGAAGTACATGTGGTAACACCATGTGGATAGATCTCATTTGGAAGAGATATGGTTCTGATAAGAACCAGTGAGTGTGTACTCCAAGTTTCAACCACTGTGCCCTGGTTGCCCTCAGGAGTGCTGGACTTTAATGGAGTGCTGGTATGTAAGGGCTGTGGGAAATCATCAGTGACCTAGTCAATCCTGCACCAGCATCCACAACCACCATCACCGACCTCACCACTCACCATCCAACCCACTCTTCAGTCCTCAAGGGATCCAAGACAATCCCCCCTCCCCCCACAACCTTTATACAGTACTCCAATGAAGTCCGGTACTCCACTCTTGAGGACGACCATGTCCAAATGTTAAAAAAGATGATTTGTAGAGTCCAAGTTACTCGGATTACACCCTGTACACAGAACTTGTGGGGAGAATGCAAGGATAGTCATGGTAGTGGGATACGAGTACACACCTAATCAAGAATCCATAGATGCTACATATTCAATGTTTCATGTGTGTCAGGGTCACATGGATTTGTTACGCCCAAACTACACTATAGCATCAGTCCCAACTATAGTTGGGACCGTCCTAGCTATAGTTGGGACCGGCCTAGCTATAGTTGGGACTGTCCTTGCCCCAGACTGAGGGCCAGTCTACTGGACTACCTCCTTTCCTCGGCCCCACAACGGTCCATCCAAACATGCCAACAAGAGGAGACACTGCAAAAACTTCTATGAAACCCATTTCGCGCATATGGCTCATTCACCCCATCTGACCATTGATGTATCCCAGACCAAATAGATCCCGACTGTGTTTAGCGTGAGTCAAACAATCGCTGTAATAAACGAATGGCCAATGTGAAGACAACAAAATCCAAACCAAAATTTTACAGACTTCTACAAACTGCAAATTGCCATATTAATACAGCAATGATCTGATGGGGTGAGTGAGCTTTATACACAAAATGGGGTTCCTTGAAGGCAATTTTGAGGAGTCTCCACTTTTTGGATGGACCATTGTAGTGCCAAGGATATGGAGGTAGTCCAGTAGACTGGCCCCCAGTCTGGGGTTAGGATTGTCCCAACTACAGTGCTATAATTGGGCCAGCCAAACTACAGCACAAAAGTCCAGGGTGGTGCAATGTAGGCAGTACTCGCACATGTGCCAATGCCACCACAGCATTTGCCAAAGTCATTTTGTTTTCATCAACAACTTACACTTGCAGAAATAAGTTTTTATTTAAGTCACAGACAAATGCCTTATTGCAAATACTGCATAGGTTAGGTGATTTTGCAAAATGATAGAAAGGCATTGTGGGAAGGAAAAAGGAGCATTATATATAACGGGTTTGCCCTTACCCAACGTATATTAATAAGCACTGTATGCTCAGTGCTTGTCCGAGAGCTTGCTATAATTAACATCTCCCCAACGCAAAAAAAAATACATCTTGAGAAAAAGGAGCACTCACCCATGCAGAACGTGCACTATTTGCTGAAAGGATAAGGACCTACAGTACACGACTTACGACAGGAGAAGTGCCATGCATGTGACCTGCACTAGACCCATAAACAGGGCCCGACGAATACTACGATGGAGGAGTATTCGTTGGGCCCTGTTTACGGGTCTAGTGACCTGCATGAACTTTATATGGCTTGAGAAATTTTATATAAATTAAAACGTGCTAAAAACAGTTGAACTAGTTGGGGCGTAACATATCACGTACGGTAGTCCGTAATTAGGCCGGTTTCGAGTCAACTCGGACCCAAACCAACTCGGACCCATGCCAACTCGGACCCATGCCAACTCGGCCCCACGACCAATTCGGACCCATGTCAAGTCGGCCCC